TATCGTTTATAAAAATATGAAAGGATATTTATCATAATGTTTAGTATGATGTTGAAATGTCTGTGTTATTTGTATGTTAGAGCATGCAAGTAGAATGTGTTTGAGGTTAGGCCCCTCCATATCAATCGTATGTTTAAAAGGACCATAACAGAAAAACTGAGGTGACCAAGCTTAATTCTTTATTTACATATTATCGTAAAAGATGAACTAAAATGAAAGATAATTCTTTAGTCTAAGAAAAAGGCAAGATGATTTGAGCAGAGAGGTTTAAGATAACCAGGTAGATTTGGCAAAACAGACATCCAATCTGTAAGGGCATTAGATTGAATTGGTTGGTTGTTGAACATGTTGCCCTGATAGATCCTCTATCTTAAAACCCAATTCTCAACCCATACATAGCCTCTATTTTCCCTCTCTGATAAACAAACCATAAACATTTTTTGCATTTTCATTCAACACATACTTCGCCGTCATACCTCCAACATTCATTTTGCAATCTACAATGTGGTCATACCGTATATTGCATTTTTGAACATGACCAAATGTGATTTTATTATTAGGTCTAGCTGTCTGACCAGCGGTGTCCTAGATAAGGTTTACCTTATGAGGACATAGGGATATTCAATCTAGACATTGATAGAGAACAGGCGATCTAAAACTACTAGACTGCCCTTGATCATGGAGTGAACACATTGACCTTCTAAGTTCCAGATTTCAAATGTCACTCTGGCCAGGTTTATACCAGTACCTTAAACTTATGAACTTTTAAATGCATATTTGCTTATGTTCTGGTTGGTTCTAAGTATGGCTACCTATGAATGGTGGTACTGCAGCTAGGTAAAATTATTTTTTATGTTCATTTCAAAGTAAGCATATGAATATAGCATACATGGACTGTCCGACATGTAATATTTCATTTTATAAAACTTTATTCAAATCATTTGTTTTGAAATGTACACTCGTGAGCAATTTATCAAAATAAAATATTAATGTTTCAGTATTTATTTAGTGAACTATGTTCAATAGAGACATTGTGTTTTATTTCAATGTAAACATTTACCCATATGATATTTTTAACTTATTATTTAAATCATTGTTCATCACTTACTCAAAAATTTCATCATTTTCCATGTAAGTTTGTTTTATTAACATGATAATTCACATTCAAAGTTATTTCAAACGATTCCAAGGCACTACAATGATATGAAATAGGTCATGTTTGGTACGTGCAAAAAACCATATGAAAAAACGAGCCCTCTTAAGAACAATATAGCCTAGCTAAACAGGATCTAAAAAACATTTATGTAAAACATTGTATAGATGGGGTACTTGAGTAGTAGAATGAAAATGATGTGTTAGAGATCAGAAATGCATCTGCAAATTAATATTATAATTCCACATCTAAAACTGCACAAAAATTGAAACTTATGTCTAATTGTAAAGTTTCCGTATCGACTTCCTAGGAGGCCCTGGATGGTTTCCGAAGACCCTTAATGAAAAATATAAAACCTTTCTACTAATAGGTATTTAAAAATATCAATGCTCAGCTGATTAAAAAACTATTGAGATTTAATAATTACATAGAGGACATGTCCCCTTTTAATACTATTACACAAAAAGCATATTCATGGAAAACACATCAAGTCAATATGTGTTTCCTTTATTCAATTTGTCACCATTAAAAAGTCCCTGTCAAAAATCATGGGAATGATCATACCAGTGTTAATTTTCTGATTGCTTACTATATGGCATAATTTATATTTGTGACCTACAACTTGTAATGTAATCCATTTTACTCTGAGCGAAAACCATTTAAATATTCATGGGAATATAAACTAGCTTGATAGAATCTATGAGGTCCCTAAGTATGCATAAATTACAATTAATTGGAAATGTTTTTCTTTAAAATAATGCGTAGTTTCCATTTGAGATATAGGAAAAACATATAAATATCCGAGCTATATAGTCCATTGTGACCTCCGAGCTCTCGTAAAGTGAAGAGAATTAAGTAGAGTACAAAGATATAGATGCTACACTGACCCCAAATTACAAACTAAGTCCCAAACGTAGGCCACAAAGGGACTAGATTACATCAATAGAATAACAAAATCAACTTGGTATGATAAGCATTATCTTGGGCATTAACAAAGGTTGAATGGTCAAAATTGGAACATAAAAGGAAGATTATTTTTTATTAATTTGCAAAAGTTAGGAGCTTTTATGCCCCATGAGAGCACAAAATCTGACATAAGCATATATTTGGGAATCATTAGACGGATTTTACCACTTGGGTTTACCACAAAAATAATCAAGTTCACCCTATGAACAAAATAATATGCGGCAAATATGTTTTATTAGCAATAAATAAGAGTTATGTACTGGGAGGTGTTGGATATGGGGTTTATCCAGAGGGAGATGTGCATATCTCACGAGGGATGAACCCAATATCCAAACCGACCATACATAACTGCTTTATCCTATACCGAGTAGAGTTTTCAGTGAAATTACTGGAAGCGGGAAGATATGAACCAAAGCGAGAAGATATGCACTGAAGCGGGAGATATGGCAGGAGATATGGAGGTTTTGGATATGGAAACCTCAAAATCAGGATACAGGATATTTCTTCCCAACTTATCTCCCTAAAACTTTACTTGGCATAGGATAAAGCAGAGTAAAGGGAGGGAATTCAAGGGATTGTAACAAACTTAAGTTGAATCATTCTAAATTGTGTAATAATACTGAAAGAGGAGGGAATCAGATAACCTCTCAAATTCTAGAGAAATTACAAGACAAAATTACTTTTTAAGCAGATACAGTTACAAAAACACACAATTACTACAACTGCCTACAATATTCTTATCCCAAATGACTGTAGCGATTTTCATTCATACACTTGTAGTGAACGTCGTAGTAATCAGGGAACGTCGGGGACCTTAATAAGCTAAAAAGCTCATTCAAAGCGATTATCATTAGATGCAGAAACATTTGGGAATCGTAAAATATTAGCTTACGATGCAAATTTACTGACGATTTATAAAGCTGAGTAGCTGCTAGAATTGTTTATGTGATACTACGGAATTCGTAACTTGACATGTTCATTTGCTAATGCATACCTACAGAATTGCTTTAGTAAAATTCAGTCAATAAATAATATCCAACCATCAAATTTTATGAATATGTATTCAAAATCATAAATTCATTAGTGTTAATGTGATATTATCAGTATTCAATTCAGGAGATAGTGAGACAATATATTCAAATCTATGTCAATATATAAGCACTAGTGCCAACATATTTTTAATGAGATTTGGTTTAACATGGTTCATATTTGTAGAGGTTTGTTTTATCAAATACTACCTTTCTGCTTTCTATAGCATATCTTACTAGATTAGACTTTACAAGTATCTAAATGTCACTGAACATGTTTTGTTACCCTCCTATTAAAATGTCACATGACACTATTATTACTACAATTCTATAAAATACAGTTTGTATTCATTTACTTCTGAATTAATATCTGAACAATGAAAGAAGAAAGATAATTTTTCTAATTCACCAACTTTAGCTAATGTCTTTCCCCTGCACATAAACACCAGTTTATGAAAACTCTAGAACTGTGACTTCCCTATATAGTATAATCAACTTCTAAGAACACTAAGAGAAAAGAAGAAATGTTGAATTTGTGTCCTTATTCCATATTGCATCATTTCTATTGTACAATTAATGGTAACAACTCCGATTGGTGATAATTTTCTTTGCTAATAGCCCCCTGGGATAGATGATATGGACAGAGTCTGTGCATGCCTAGCGGCAGTGAAAATCCAACTCTACTGTTACCATTCACATTTTCCCTATTCAATTAACCCAACAGTTTTCTTTACAGGGATGAAAAAGCTAAGATGTCTGCTAATCTTGCACACAGCATTAATTATACAAGTCATGTGACCCTTTAATGCCCATTTATGGACTCAGGTTTTACTCTCTGCCTACTATCGACTTCCCAAAGGAGCCATTCACGCTAATTTATCCCTTACAATGTGACAGAGTTAATACAATGGAAAATTCCCCATAGTATTAATACAAACACATTACCCCTCTGAAATACTAAATCGCAGTAAGTTACCAGTCAAAGTATAAATGACAAAAATTATACAGTACTCATTGGGGATAGATATTATTTGTTCATAAATGTAAAGCATACTGACAGTATCCCACTAGACCTAGAATATACAACCCTCATGACAGATATTTATTGGGACGTGGTAAAAATATTTTGATTTACGTAGGCGTTTGGCATTCACCATGAATATTTCATTTTTCCAATTTAAACAATGACACTGTCTTTATGGCTAAAAGCTTAGTAAGTGTAAGATCTCCACCGTGCTCATTCAATAAGTGATCTCATATATTTTCATTCAGGTTTGTAGAAATCAATTATAGCATTACCCAAATTGAAATAAACGACGATCTTGTATGTTTTAGAAATCTAGTAGTAATTCATTGAAACTGAAATTATACTTCCTGGGCATAAGTGTGCATAATAGATACCTAGCATTTTCCAATTGATTTCAGACCCTCAACATATCTTAATTCTAATGTAGAGAACTTGTAGTAATATCAATGAATGACGCTTATGCGTTTTCAGACTAAGCAAATGATGATTTTGTGTTTTCAGATTCCAAACAAACATTTCTTATGCAATATAAATACTTATCGAAACAAATAATTATGATGTTTTCAGACCCTCCAGGATTCCCATGCAATACATGTGCTACTGATTTAAATCATAATTATATATTTTCAGACTCTTAATCAACATTTCCCATGCAATACAAAGTGCTAATCCTTATGAATGATAATTTTCAGTTTTAAGATTCTCATCATTTCCTATGCAATGCATGTGCTAATCTAAATGAATGATAATTATTGTTTTCAGACCCACATAATTTCCTTTAGATTACAAGTGCCAGTCTCAATTAATGAAAACTGTATATTTTCAGAGCCCCGATACTTCAAGTGCCACACATGCCAACAAGAGAAGTACACAGCCTGGGACATAGTCCAACATGCACAACAAACTCATGGTATACAGATCTACATAGAAGATCAGCAAGAGAAGACAAACACTCTTGTGTCATCATCAAGGCATAGTTCTACTGAAGAATTAGACACTGTTAAAAAGGAAGATGAAAGTTTTGATGAAAACAGAGAGCAGCAGATGCGCGAGGAGGAAATCAAAAGAAAACTAGAAAGAGATATGCCAGAAGGCTTGGAGAGGAAAAAGTTGAGGTTAGATAGTACAGGTGATGCACAAAGAGAGAATGATGAGAGACAAGAACAAGAACAAGGACATCCTGCAAAAATAATGAAAGGAATGCAGCCCCCAAATCCATTCATGCCTTTTCCAATTGGCCCAACAGTGTCCCCGATCATGCCACATCCCTATAACCGTCCAGGGGGGATGCCCGATTTCCATCACATGGATATTGGTTCTGATCCATATGTTAACAGGCATTTACTCCATGGTATGCCCTTACCCCCAGGAATAGAACATCATCCCGCATTCCCAAACATATTTGATAGAAGCCGCGGCTTGCCAGGAATGATAAACATTGACCCATCCCTAATGGACTTTTACTCTAAACGACTGCGTCAGCTAGCAGGTGCTACAAGCCCAACAACTTCACCAGTCAGAAAACAGCCTCAGACACCACCCTATTCTAAACCTCCCACACCCTCAGCATTCAGTACTGCATCAACATCTGGTACCACTCCTTCATCACCAACTCAATCCAATTCAGAAGGTAAACTACCACCCCCTCTAATTGCGACCAATGCAATGGTGAAATTAAAAGCTTGTGAATTCTGCGGGAAGACCTTCCGATTTCAAAGCAACTTGATCGTACATAGACGATCACATACCGGTGAGAAGCCCTTTAAATGCCCGTTGTGTCCTCACGCATGCACGCAAGCAAGTAAGCTCAAGAGGCATATGAAAACCCACAGGAATGACAACCGTGTGCCTGGTCACCTTCAATCCTCAATGGGTCAGATGTCTGATAACAGCCTTCATTCGTCAAACAGTGGTAGCCCTGATGGCAGCAACTACAAGTATGGCATTAATGACGACTTTGACAGTGAAGATGAAGAGGAGGAGGAAGAAGAAGAGGAAGAAGAAATGGAAGGGGAAGATTTGGAAGAAATGGAAAAAGAAATGCAAGCAACTGATCTCACGGCAAGTCCAAGTCAATTTTGGAATGGAATGGCTCTCCCCACAAACCCAGTAAAAAATGATGAACCCACAAATGATGAACACCCAAGTGATCCTAAGGTAAAAGAAGAATGTGAAGATGAGCCTACCACAAGTAAAGATCAGGACAAACAGAGTAAAGGACAGACTGATGAAGTAGCTGATCTTTCTGTGAAAGAAAAAGCCTCTGTGCTTAATCAAATAATGGAATGTTCTGGACTTAGTCGCATCCAGCAATACAGTGAGGCTTTTCAGCAAGCACTAGTTGATACAACTCGTAATCCAACACCAAGAAGCAGTACAGAAGAACAAAAATCGAAAAAATCTCCAGAACCTGCTCAGAATGGATTTAAACAGCAGATGCCACTTGAAAATGGCTATCCACATGAGCCTCCTCCGTTCCGCAGCAAACTAGACAAAGCGAGAATAAGTTTTGAAAGGGTTGAGCGTGAACAAAAAATGGAACGTGAGCAGCACCAGGAACGTGAGCAGCTGAGGGCAGAGCAAATTAAAATGGAACAAACTTTGCCAATGGATAGAGAGAACGAGAAAGCTATGGCAGAGAGAAAAGGCACTAAAGATATCTTGGAAAAAATTCCCCCTGAGGTAAGAAGAGAGCTACCACCCATGGAGCCAGCATTTATTCGCTCCTTAGTAGATGTTTCAAGGGAACAAGGATATGGTTTGAAAGAGTTTCGAAATGGAACAAGAATTGGTGACAGCCCCGGTGTTTATGATATGATTCATCATAATAATGCCATATTTGGCCCAGCCTCTGTATTTCATCATAGACTGCCTACACCTACATTATTAAGGCCTGAATTCAAGGAGCGAAGGCGAAATGATACCTGTGAATTCTGTGGGAAGGTGTTTAAGAACTGTAGTAACTTAACTGTCCACAGGCGATCCCACACTGGAGAGAAGCCATACAAGTGTAATATGTGTTCGTATGCATGCGCTCAGTCAAGTAAGCTCACAAGGCATATGAAAACGCATGGCAGACAGGGTAAAGATGTATACCGTTGCAAATTTTGCCAGATGCCATTTTCCGTGGCCGCAACTCTGGAAAAGCATATGAGAAAGTGTGTGGGACGAGAAATTTCTCCACAAACATTAGGGCTGCATCGCCAGGATAGCACGCACAGCAACAATGGCTATCCAATGCCTAGCAAGATTTGACTCATTCGCTCACCCATATAGTATTTATACACTTAGCAATTATTGAAAGTTGAGTGTAAAAATACTTTTAAATATCTCAGAGGAGACATGATACTTGCAAAGTTTGGCAACTTTGGATATTCTAAAACTGATCAATTCTTCTAAGATGTCTTAAGTCGTATCACACCCAGCAGAAGTAGCTTTGGACATCTTAGAAATAATTAGGTATCAGAAATTATATATACATAAATGTCGGGGATTAATAATACTGGTTAATTAGAGCCGTTATAACGTACAGGTATACTGAAGGTTCATGTAAGGTATCACAGAACAATTCTACAATTAGGAGTCTAATATTCTTAGAGACACAGATAATCAAAACATATATTACACAGATTGATTTCATCAGGTAATTAGTAAAACAATAATGAAAAAGGGATCTGCTCCATTTGAATGAATATCTAATGATACAAAAATACAACTTTTCATGATTTCAATAAGTTAAAGCAACACCTTTGAATGCCAATCCATAATAATATTATGTAGAATGTATAGGCTACATCAACTAAAAATATCTTTTGGTGGAATTTTCTTCTTGAAATTCCAAAGTTAATCCAAACGTAGGTAAACATTTAATTAATAGAAATACTCAGAGCAGTTTAAAGTTTAATTCCATGCAAGATTTGTGATATCTTTACATATCTATGTGAGCCTAAAATCAAAAATCAATGTCTCCAACGTCAGTATTGATTTGTTGTTGATTTTAGAGTAATTTGTCTCATTTGCACCTCATAGATTATATCTGTATTTGATCTAAATAGTGACTGAAAAAGTAAACGCAATCAGCACATGACCCATCTGATCAATATAAATTGGAACAATTTCAAACTATTCAATGAATATTCCTTGGAGTTCAGATATTTATTTCAATTTAAAAAATGGAGTTCAGATATTTATTTCACCAACAGCTCAGAATAATACTCATTACCATTTTCATTTCCATTACGATCAGGTTTGATTTTAAATCAGCTATAATCACTCACCTTATTTCATAATAGCACCAATGAAAAAATGCCATGGCGGTCATGTTTTAAAATCCAACATATAGTATTGTGGAGTTGACTGAGTAAGGAAACAGGCTACTCAAAATTGTATATAAATTTCAATGAAAATGAAATGCATGTGTTATGCTAAGAGATATCTGAAGCATAGGTAACAATTCATATCATATGTTACATGCTGTATCAATAAAAATGTTATTGCATAATCATAGCAAAAAAAGTTCTGAAATCTCCAGAAATTCAAGGATTTCCATACAATTTAGAGTAAACATCAAGCCTTGTTTTCTCCTTGGTTTTGGGTACTCTTTATGCGGTTTTATTTTTAAAAATCGACCCTTGTAGCATTTTTTCTTGGTCATAAGAACATGTCTCAAGACACTTTATATTTTTCTTCAGATTTAATGCATTTACAATAAAAAACAGGAGCTAATTATAAGTACCGAACTGTGCCTAACTTTAACATGTAACTATTTATTACAACAATGGGAAAGTTGACATATAGAATTGTGGCCACTTTAAAGTGCCACTGACTGTCTTTCATGTGTGAAAATGATCAAATGGAATAAAAGGGGTATATGATATATAAATATATATGAATTATAGAATGGGGTAAATGCATAGCTTTGCTTCATACGGTTGATATTGGGTGTATTACATACATTGAGATTATGAAAAATATAAGGATTTTTATGTATATATTGAGGGATTTTTAATCATCCAATTTCATTAAGGTAGAGCAAAGCTAAGATATTAGATGAAAGTATATTGGTAAAGGTTACCAATTTGTAAAGCCAACCTAGGAAAGATAGCTTTTTATATTTGCCATGTAACCCTTAAAGGGTGGGTTTGTAGTAAAGCTTAATGATCAACAGTGTTCTTTCAAATTCAATATTATGAAGAGAATTAAGCTGTTTATCATTAAGCAAGTTTCTAGATTTAGGTTGTACATTTGTAATTATGTCATGATTTCATCAAAACGTAGTTCTATTTTATTATTAACTGTATGTGTGTGATGTTAATATTATCTATTTTTCATATGTGTGTTGGTGTCTTTTGAATCACGAACAGAGCTGACTCATATTTAAGCTACTGTTCAGTTCAATAGAAAGAAATTTGCTGCCACATCTCTGCGTGCCATAAAATGTTATAATAGTGCTAAAGGTGTTATAATAGTACTAAAGGTGTCATAATAGTGCTTCAAGTTCTCTTGGCATGAATGACATTATTGAGAATATAATCAGGTTCAAAACCTAACGTATATTTAAAACAAAAAAACTTGATCTCAAAATGGAGAGAAAAATATCAATAACACAGACTGAACGTTTTTAGGTGAACTTAAAAGCAACACAAAATCATATTTTTATCTCATGTGCCACATATATCACTCCTTAGTGATTGTTTTTCATAGTAGTTTTAGATACAACTTCTAGTCATTTGTGCCATACAATATAGAGATAATAACAATTTAGTTCTGCAGTTCACATGACAACAGTAAATAACAACAATTATTTTAATAATAATAAGTATAAATTTGTTTCTAATTTGTGTGGTGTCTACAATTTTTCCATATGTGGAAAAATATACTCTCATGCATATGACATGATATCCTAAATTATTTTTAATGAAAAGTATTAATATTTAATCCCTGATTCCTTAAAATAGGTTTATGGACATTTGGAACATCCACCATATTTTATTGTTGTGAACACTGAAGCAAATAACTGATGGTTGTAATTTGATGACCAGGTAGAGATTTTCATAAATTGAATGGCTTATTTTTATATATGTTTTCTAAGGAATTTATAATGAAAAGTTGAAAAATGCACTCTTATGAGGATCATATAGCAATACAACATAGATATAGCATGATACTATAATTGTGACAATATACAATGTTACTTTAATTATGTGGCGTAATATAATGTTACAACTATTATGGTTTAATAGGTGCTTATTGTAAAATCTGAAAAGAAATGTGTGGCAATTTGTTTGAAACATTCACACAAAATTTCAGCATAAATATTGATAAAAAGGTGATATATTATGTGAGTAAATTCATGAATAAAAAATTAATGTCTAATAATACCTAAATTGCAAATCCATTAAATTGTGAGATGCTAAACATTGACATATAGTCCAATGGTCTGAGATAACCAAATGATGAAAAAAATTAATCTTAGAAGAACAATCATATGGCGAGCTATGCAACAGTTGGCCTCTCATTTCAGCTGAACATTTGTGGTAAAACAATTCCATAACACTATTCTTCTAATTGAACATTCAATTGGAAACGGGTTCTATTTCAAGGCATAAATCCCACACTGTTTCATATTAAAATAAAAATAAAATTAAAGATAATCACGAATTTCTCCTCAAATATTTCAAATGATCACATGATTAGCATGAACCAATGACATTAAACAAAGTCTTTATTCAGACACAAACATGTTCAAACATACAAATGCAATAAATATTTTAAGCGACGCCTTCATTTTTAGAAAACATCTTGACACAAGACATAATACATATATATCTTTATTGATTAATATACAAATGTATATATAAATGACTTGTATGCTATATTACCCTTATATGACTAACATACATATGGCCTAACAGGAGTAAAACAACATCATGGCAGCAATTGTGATATCGTAAATTGTAAAAACTGGTCTTACATGTCTTAATGTATGCATGAATGTCCATTATATTATATAACAGAACTATATACACATACATATAAACACAGATGTATATAAATGTACAAACTTGCCCTGTAATTTTTGATGCTTTTAGAAAAGTTTAATAAGATGTGCTAAAGAGTAAGATTTCCATTTGCTTGGGAGGCAAAACTAGCTCAGAAAGACATGTCAAATATTTTTTAAATGTCTCTGAAAGAGCCCAAAATAATTTTAATCCGAAATTCCAAACAGAAAACACATGAAATGTGTAGAGTAAATCTGATAACATGAAATGTTTATCAATTGAAAAAAAATAACGAGATAAAAGATCTGATATTTATTATGGGTGATGATTTTCTGAGCTGGTTAAATGAAAATTATGAGGGGGAGTTACCAGGGTTTTGATTGGTTTCTTAACCATATACCAGACCCCGACAGAACCTTCTCATAGAGTTAGATTGTACTGGTTACCCATGTTTTTTACGCACTGCTTCCAGGCAGTCTAAACTCTGGGTATTTTATTGTGCAATATTATAGGGAATAACACACGATGTATTCACATTGGAATATATGTCAACAAATACTTATAAAATTCTAAGGTAAAATTTCAAACGTGTTTCAAGCACAATTTCGAGAACAATAGCGTATTTTTGAGACATTTTAGCTATTTGCACATTTACATTTTCATGCTATGAATTTATGTGTCTTGTGAAAACAAAACATGATGGGGTTTCTTTGATTAATTAAAACATATAAATGTTCATCATACTGTGAATTAATTGCTTTTTAATTAGACTATTTAGGCAAACTTGGTGTCTTATATTACAATTACAATTATAAAGATACTATATCATATGCACCTGTAAATAAGTATGAAGAAGAAGAGCATAAATATCTTGACAAATACAATGAAGAAAAATATGGGTGACTTCGTTGAATTTGAAGGATATTTATGTATCTCCACTATTCTAGCATTACTCAAAATGACACTTTCCTTCCATCATACGAGATCATGGCTGGGACAAGAGAGAGGAATGTGTCCTTTTGAGTTGACTGTTCACATTGTATAAATACCAGCTCACACACCGACTAGTTTAACACATCCCCCTTAGAGGAATATCATGATGGCCATGTTTTTGCAATTGAAATTTTGGCGGTTGAATTTAGAAAGAATGAATTTTAAGATGAATCATGCAGTAGTGTATAATACATTTAAAAACTGTATGATGAGAAATCAGAAAACTGAGTACTTCATTTTCGTGTAACAAGCGGTGGTTTTGAGGGGAAGGGTAATCAGAATCTGGAATATGTAAAAAGTAAAAAAGGTA